ACTGACTTGTGTTCATCTTCAGGCTCCCATGGACCTCTGACCCATGCCAAGGGAAAACCAAAACAAACCACAAGGCTACTACTGTCACTTTACCCTAAATACAAAACCACATGGGAAATCCTCAAATAGCCATTTCCACTTGTCATGATGCCCATTTTAGGGGACGCAAGCCCAGACTGAGCTATGATAAGAACCACTTCCTGTGCAAACGAGGCCCCGCCCCCCCTCACAGCATTCCCTGAGTTATTCCAGAAAAAGATGAGAATCTGGAGCTGCCTGGCAACAGCAGGCCTGATAAAGAGGAGATGCAGAGGAGAGAGGGAGCTGTCTGGGAGCTGAGCAGCTGCTGTCAGGAAGGCAAGATATATTGGATGCCTCCGTGCTAGCAACAGCGAGAAACATTTAGACTTGGACTAAACGCCTTAGTCAAAGCAACCACAGTATGTGCACTGCTTTTATGTAGCCATTGATTCTGAAAGAAATACATAATTCTGACAAAGTACAAGATGTTTAAACTTTTAGAAGCAATAAAGCAGCAAACATAGCATCATATTGCTGTCTATTTTTCTCTCTCACCAACAGTTTGAACCAAGATTGAAAGTGTTGGGGATAAAATAGGTTTTTAAAAGGGGTTATAGCATGTGATCAGCATAAGTTAAGGTCATTCACGGGTTTGCAACTCTTTCATCCTTTTTAATATTTTCCAGTCTTTGAATGCTAAAATTCAACTTTAATAAATAAAACAATATGTATTCTGCAATAGTTTTATCGCTATCATAACCACCTAACCCCCTGCAGAGCCCTGTGATTACTTACATAGGCACCACGTGGAGTCCATGAGGAGGGCAAATTGTATGTTGCTGCAAACACTTCTTTTTTCTGCCTGCCATGCCTGGAAGGAATTCTTTGCTTTCATCAGTTTTATAAAGTGTAAAGTGAAATGCAGATTCATTTATGACACATGTAATCAACGCAAGCGTATCGACAAAACAAATCGGATGTCGTAATCTGATGGCCGATCCTGAATGGGACATACTTAGGAATAAAACGATGTCCTGTAACGTCTGCCTGTGTGCAAACGTTCTCTTATAGAAAGTCCAAATGAGCAGCGTGCTGTGCAGGTGATTTATATTCATGTGCTCCAGGTTATTCACACTGAGACAATCTGCTCTGTCTGAACATCTGGGTGGTCGCCTCTCCGTCTGTCTGTCCCAGTCTGCAACAGCATAATGACATCCCGCGCACATCAAACAGATTCATTATTTCTATTTATTACTTGATTTACATTTTGGATAATTGCTGTTTATGAACTAGTGTATTTTTAAACATAAAGAAGCTCGGGCCTTTACGCAAACAAAGCTTCTGTGGTATATTGCTGGAAAAACAGAGTAATTGTTTAAAGCTGCTCTAATCTATGCCATACCTTTTTATTTTAGTCACAGCACTGCGCCAAAGTCTTAAATCACCCCTCATTTCTTTATGTTTTGGATCTTTCTGCCTTTTTTTTTTTTCAGTTCTCTCAAGATGATCCCACACTGCTTCATTCATGTTGAGGTCTGGGCTGTGGGGAAGCCAATCCATGACTACCAGAAATGTAGCTCCAAACCATGACAGATGGCTGTAGACACTCACTGTTGCTTCTCTCCTGACCTCCTCCATACATGCTGATGGCAATTTAAACCAAAAGTTCCAAATTTGGATTCATCTCTCCAGCAGACCTGCTGTCACTAATTTTCAGTCCAGTTTTTGTGTGAGCAAATCTGAGCATTTTCTCTCTGTTCCCCTTGCTTAAAAATGGCTTCTTAACAGCCATCCTTCCACTGAGACTGTTTCTGATGAGGCTTCGACAAACAGCACGTGGATCAGCTGAGAGATCAAATGAGTCCTGTGTCAGGTGTTTGCTGGATTCCTTCTTATTTCTTAAGGACATGACTTTCAGATCAAGTACACCCGCTGTAGATAGTCTTTAGGCCTTCTTCTGTCCTCTGCTTGTCCAGTTTCCTCAAATTTGTTTAATGACACGCTGCACGCCATGGTGAGTTTTCAGCTAATAAATCTTTGGGAATCCCCCTGTTGGTGCAAATTTACTCTTTTGTATTTGTTAAACTGTGTTATCTTTGCCATTTTTCATAGATTCAACTAAAGAAATTAGTAAACAAATAGGATATTTTAGGACATTTTGTTAGTAACAAAGTGCCTACAGATAGAAATTGGTTCTTTGCTAAGTTGTCTGTTATGTGTAGACACAACATTTGTTCATCCCTTGAGCTAGCTGCCTGTTTTATGCTTGAATGATACATAGGTCAGCGTGAAGTGACTTAACAAACAAACAAAAACAGTCACTGTGCTGAATATGTTTGGGAAAAGCAGCCAATGTCCAAAGAAAACCTTAGAGAGATCTTCAGAAAGCCTGGTGAACTGTTGCTCGAGACCACTCGAAAAAATGTACAAGTCTGGTTTCTTAGAAGCAAAATATAAAGAAATGGGTGCCAGCTCAAAAGTTTTGTACAGTAACATACAAAGAATATAAATCGTGCAGAGTGATTTCACATTCTTTAGCTCAGCCGCTTTAGTTTTAAGTGCCTGTCACTGGCTGAAAAGTCAGAGGATCAACGAACTGAGGAGGGTTTTATGATCACCATAAATACACGCACTGTACCTGTATTATTTAGCTTTTGATATATTTAACTTTGGATAACTTCTTTGACCTACTAAAACAGAACAAACAGAAGTAACAAACAGGATTTTACTTCCCTCTTTCAGTTTAATATAAAATAAATGACCTGTTTTGCCGTGGAAACACAAACTTTTGAGAACATGTCAAGTAAAGCAAAGCAAAAAGTCTCAGTGAACTACATTATGACTAAAAGTGTATCTTGGTTCTGAATGTGTTTGCTCTTTAAAGACTCTTCTTTACTTCTACAGACTGACAGGAATCATATTTTCTTTTGTGGAAAAGTTTTGTTCAGTCTGGGCGTCAGGCTCGCCGTTGCTTACATCACAACTGCTCAAATATGGAAAAGTCTTCATATTGTTGCTGCTATAGCCGTGGCCGTTTTAACACGGGAGAGAGAAATTTCCACTTGTCCAGACCACATTCCAGCGCTCGCGCTGAACAGCACACATCTCCTGTGCAAGCTGGAGTCGACTCCTCGGTCCCTCTCTGCAAAAACTCCGATAAACGGACAGATAAATCCGGGAGACGGGACTGTGTGACGACATGATCTCGGTATCCAGACACACTGCGAAACAGCATGAGGCATTCCAGGAATCCGACGCGTCTCTCTTGAATTACTTTACACAGAAGCTCCATAAAACGTGACGTACCGCAAGGAAATCGGGGGGAGAAGAGGGAAGACTGATGCCGGAGCCAACTCTTTGCCTCTACACTGTGTCAGAGTGGAAGAATACTGTCACAGCAGTGCAAGTACCATTCACTTGGCCTCAATTGAATCCAGCCTGCTTCGACTCCAGCTACGACTCTACACGCAACTGCAACTCTGTGCAAACCTGTGTGTGATGAATGCAAAATGCACCACAACCACAACCTGCTGCTGCCACTCCTCCCTCCCCACAGGCATTGTTTATTTTTCATCCAGCAGCTCTGCATCTTAGTTTGGTTAAAAAATAAAGGAGAGAGAAAGAGCACATAAGTGGAAGACAAATCTATTTTTAGAAATATGTGAGTTTTAAGAAAGAAAAAGAAGAAAGAAGCCGTATCATGTTAATAAATACTGAGCTGTGCCGTGCAGTGTAGTGTATTAGCTCACTTTCATTACTGTTATTGAGTTAATTCACTGTCAGACTGTGTTAGCTCAATCTCACTCTGTACACCGAGCCACTGAGGGTAAATCCATTTGTGGAGCGGCACACTGATGTAGACTGCGAGGCTCCAAGTCTCAACCACAGCTGATCTGATACAGCACAGAAACAGCTCCACTCATGCCAACCAGACACTGGAGTGAGGGAGGTGGGGAAAGTATAGATCTTAAGAGTACATTTATGTGCCATGTAATGAGCCGTGCCTTACTAATTAAAGTGTAACCCAGGAACGTTTTCCAGATGCAGCGGAGGGTAAACCTCAGCTCACCTCATCTTAGCCACCTATTTATTTGCACAGTTTCCTCACATGAACCCACGGAGCCTATCAGCAGCAGGTATGGAACCAAAAGGCCTCGAGATGATCAGATATGCTTGCTTTGAACCGGTTATTTTGTGGATTATGGGCCATTTTTTGTCACATGGAGTTGGTTTTGATTTTTAGGTGGACTTTATTGTTTCAACTCGCGCTCGTGCTATCAACTAACCTTGAAATGAGCTAAAAGTGTTTCAGATTTTCAGGCATAACCTTTTCTTATAGAGAAGCACGGTTGGGCCAGTTTTAGGTGTTTTATGGAGCTCCACATTGGTATAATAAGCTTTTAAGAAAGTCAGCTTTTAAGCAAACAAACAGGCCTCCCTCACCTCTCTACAGGGGCGATGTGCCAAAAAGTGATTTCCATGGTTTCTCCTTGTTACTTATGTCTAATATCTTTACTTATTTTGGTAAACAGATGGAGGGGAACATGATGCTGGGGAAACTTAAAGTATGCCTATATAATTGTAAAGTTATATTTGTTACAGTTTCTGCTGTCCTGTTGGCCAGATCCCTTATGAAGATTGTTTTTATCTGCATAAATAAAGAATATATAAAAGTCACTTTGCCAAAAACCCTCCAGCTTCTGCCTTGAGACAGAAATGTTCCTTCTGGCTTTAAATGACAGGACATCAGTCATGATATGAGATGTGTTTGGCATATTTTTGACAGATTGAAGGCCAGTGAGTCATTTATAATCGTTTAAATAATCGCGATCATGTCTTTTTGCAATTACCGGAAATCATTTTTTGGCACAATAGGGATAACCACAACGTAAAAGCCTGGGGTCAGGACAGGGCTCTCAATCGCAGGGGGTCTATTTAATCGCCCCCAGCCCTCATAAGAAACTGCCTCCGTCACTTACCGACCCTGAAGCCCGGTCCGGTGAGCGTGTCGGCCCCCTGCCCGTTCTCCGCGATCAGCGTGGTGTTGTTGCCCTGCTCGCAGGTATTATGGCACTGCCCCTTCAGGCAGACCCGCTTGCAGATGAGAGGAGCGATGACCACCTTGAAACGCTCGCGTGTGGAGGAGCGCTCCGTGCACCACACCAGCCTGTGGACGCTCAGCCAGATGACAAGCAGATGGGAGATCAGAGAGGGCATCCTGGCATCCTTTCACTGCCCTCCACAGAGACCCCGGGACATTTAATCACAAGCCGAGGGTTTCAGCTCCAGCTCAAAGGCGCCTGCTTTGTTAACACAGAGGGAAACTTTTGACGTCTCATACGGTGGTGGAAAAACAAAAAACAAAAACGTGTGTCCTCCCTCCTGTTTTCTTCTTTGGGAAAAATAAACTCAGTTCCCTCGCGTACCCATGTGATCCATCTGCAAAACCGACGCGTTTGGCATCCTCGGAAGCTTCTCCTAGTTGCGCTCGTTCCAAAAAAGTTGCAGGAGTTGCTCTTTTGCTTTTGTCGCTCTTCCTTCTTCTCGCCTGTTGCTTTGGAGGGCTGGAGAGGAGTGCGTATGTGGGTTTGGAAGAGAAAGAAGAGAGGGAGGAGAGGAGGAGAAGGGGTGAGCCAGCCCTCTCTGGAGAACTTGGCGGCAGGCCAGCCAGGCGGTGCAGGAGCAAAGCTGAAAGTGGTTTCCTTGTTGGTTATTTCTCCTCTAACAGCCCTCCTCTGCTCTATTACCCCCGCACAGACAAATCACAGCTGCACAGCTGTGCGTGTCACTCTCAAATAGAAAAAAATAAAACAAAACATGGACACAGGCTAATAATTCACTCCGTGTACGTGAGATTCTAGTGCGTGAAAATGCACTGGCCTCTCCGATGTTCCTCTCTATGTCTGTAAAATATCAGCCAGTGTTCATACACTGATCATAACATGTCATTACGCCGCAGTGTGTCACTGCACTACATCAGCCATTTTATTTGAATATTTAGCTTTTCACTTGAAGCTAAAAAATATCAGTCATGTGGATTTCTTCAAGATTTTACAGGCAGTCTAATATTTCTTGTATTGTGTGATGAGCTTCTTTATATTTCACAGCTCAGATATTTAAATAGCCATAAGGATGTCCAGAAGCAGGGTACAGCTGAAAAGCCAGTATCCCAAGGGACCACTGGTGCTGAATGACATATACATGCTATATACATAAACTGAAAGAAAGGCCATGTTGGATTTACTTGATTCAATAGTGGACATTGGTTGCACACAAATGTTTTGCTTTAGCAGAAACTTAAACAATAGAGTTAAATCAACACAACTTTTTCATATTCAGTAAACCTGTGCATTTTGTGTTCATAAAACGTGATTGAAACATGTTCAGATGAAGTAAGTTGAGCTCTTGGAATATTTTAATCCTTCACAATTTTGTCATTTTATTTCAACACTATTCAATAACTTTTACCCCAATACTACTTGGTCACTTAAATACTACATGTTGTCTTCATATTACATAATGTTCAACAAAGTCTAGAGTCTGGTTACCATAAAAATTGAATGGATCTACAACAACTACATCCTGCTATCTTTATCCTGGTTGCAGGGGGGCTGGGAAATAACACTGAAGTGATAGGTTACAAGGCAGGGTACACCCTGGACAACTCACAAACAACCATTTACACTTACATTGACAGGTAATTTAGAATCACAAATTAATTTAACTCTAACAACTGCATGACTTTTAACTGTGGGAAGAAACCAGAATACCCAGAGAGAAACCAGTGCAAACTAGCCAGATTGTGGATTTGAACCCAGGACATCCTTACTGTGAAGCAACAGCACTAACCACCATGCCAACAATCTAGGAAATACAAGAAAGCTATGATTTCCTGTGTTTGATGCAGAATTTTTTTGTTTTTGTCCTTGACAGGTTAATCCACAATAAATAGCAATAGCATACACATTGTATGTGTCTAGTTGTCTGCCTCTTATAACTCCAGTGATTTTCCTGCAGTTTGAAATCTCATGTGATCTTGCTAATTTCACGAGTCCAGCAACGAACCATTAGATTGTATCATGTCATCTCAACAAGGACAAATTAAGTTGTTGAATTTCGTACAGATCCTTCATGATTTAATTACGTTCGTAGAAACATGAAATTATTGTGTTCAATTACAAGTTAGACTTTTTTAAATGTAACAACCACCCAATTTCCTTTTTAGGTATACCAAAAAAAAGTAGAGGTGGCTGCTCGACTTGACTGAGATGGATGCCTTCCTGAAACCCCGATCCAAAGAGTGCGAGACTGAAACCCGTGCAGTTTCGCGGGATTTAACATTGCTATATTATTGACTTACTTCACTTGAACACGATATGAACAATTTAATGTAGCCTCTCTGCATATCATGTAGTTTCTACACTACATAGTTACACTTAATGTTAAAGCATGAGGCAATTGTGTTAAATACACGCAAGATGCTTACGTAAATCCAAGAGCTGGCCAATCCCTTTTTTTTCAGTGTGCTTACAGCCATTGTGTGTGTATTGTCTTTTAAGAAGAGTTCACCAGGTTTGAAACATAAGGCCCGGGGACCAGAATTAGCCAGCGTTTTCTGTCCAGTGGGCCGGAGTGTAAAATTACAGTCTTTGGCAGGCTGATATGAGGCCTTAGGTTTGACACACCTGATCTAGATGCTGGCCTACTTGCAGTCCTGGCCTATCTATGATGGTAAAACATTTCACTTTCAAAATGACAGCAGTGGGTCTCCTCTGTTTCCAAATGCTTACAGAGTGCTGTTAATAGAAGAGGTGATGCGACCTGGCATCAAATCAAAACTGAGCATACACTTCTCAGAAAACACCTCTCTTACTTTCAGCATTTAAATTTGTTGGCTCCGCAGCTAATAGATGCTTTTACAGTCTGGGGTTATAAAAGCATCTATTAGCTGCTGAGGTTTTTGCAACAACTGCAACAAATTCCAGTTTTCCATTCTTGCCCTCGGTGTGCAGATAAATAGCGCTCAATCTCGCAGCCGCCCACGCCGACTGAAACAGATTAAAGTCAGACGGCCGACGTGACACCACACAGTCTGCAGCGCTGAGACCTGCCTGAACACTTAATGCATTATAAGTTCAGCTGTGACTCTCGCCTGGGACGAACGAGCGTGCTGATTAATCACACTTCAAAAAGTAAAAAAAAATAAAAAAATATGAAGGTGCAGCACGGGGGCTAGTCAGTGTCTGGGGGTCATGTGAGCAATGGGTGAAAGTGAGAAACAGACAAAGAGAGGGGAATAAAGCAAGCTGAGTCACTTCCTCTCCAAAAAAAAAGTGAATGTGTTTACTTTTAGTCGCTGAGGAAATGACTGCATGGGCCTACAGAGAGTTCACGAGCCGTTCTCACATGTCTCTGAGCCTCTGCTGCTCACCATCATAAGGTCACCGACTGCCAAGACACACACACGAGCACACATGCACGCACACACAGAATGAAAATACACTGCAGGTCAGACAAGAACCATCCTTATTGTTAGTACAATATAATTACTTCCCATCTGAAAACTGAAACCCTGGTGATATTCTCTGACAAGCAGACAATAATAACAGACAGCACGGACAAATAAGCAACCTTATTACACAATCTGCGTGTAAAAAGAGCTGAAGATGGAAATTCAATCCTTTAATTGGATAAAAGCAGCAACGCAACATCCAAAAGATGAAGAATGTGAGCGACTAAAGCAAAGACTACTTAGAGCAGAGTGCCCCTAACAATAATAAACCCTTCTGCTCAATGTGTCCCGGGCCTCTAAGTTAATCAACACACAAAGTGCAGTGAGATAGTTAACATATTAGACTGCGTCTTTATTTCTACAGCAGCTCGTGTTTCTCTATGGAAACAATCGGAGCCATTTCCACAGACAATGCCAAATTTTTAAAGCGATCACGAGGAACCTCAGACTACACTCAGCGGCGTTGGAAGTTTTATCAGGTTTGGCCACGAGAGAATCTCAGTGAACACTCAGGAGCAATGACAACAGCTTAATGGATCTATGGCAGCCTCTGCTGGATCACTTGCCCAGTGGTTTAAACAAAGACGTCCAAAGGGCACGTTGGCTCCAAGTGGAGTTTTCTCTACAGAACAGTAAGAACAAATTCGTTTCGGTGCCGTGCACAAAGAGTCTTTTTTTTGGATCAAGCCTGGGAAGCATATTAGGAAGATTTACACTACATGAACTATATACGGTTTTTCTTAGGAGCAGATTAGACTGTGTATCAACACAATTTGTACTCTGGATTTTGTGCTTTCATCCCCAGAAGGGTCAGTGATTATGACTGTTTATCCTTTACAAGGTTAAAATGTGTAGTTTCTTTTCCAAACTGGTCTAAAACAAACCCACAACTGCACAACTTGAACCCAATGGTGCATTTTGAGAGAATAATCACTGCAAAAACTTGTCCTGGGAGATTAGCTTTTATACCACTTGCCATAAAACTCATCACACTGGCTATTGTTCCACCAGACAATTGATTGTAGTAAGTTTAGTGATCCTGCAACTTTTTTATCTACTGCACGTTGAAATTTCTCTTTGTCCATTTTATTTATTTGTGACCAAACAGATACAACAAGGTGCTGGAAGCATTTCTCAGAGAATTTCGTCCATATTGACATGATAGCATAACACAGTTGGTGCAGATTTTTGGGCTGCACATCCGGCATGTGGATTTCCTGGTCCAACACATCCCAAAGGTGCTCCGTTAGGTGTAGATCTGGTGCCTGTGGAGGCTTTGTGAGTATAGCAAACTCACTGTCATGTTCAAGTAACCAGTTTGAGATTATCTGAGCTTTGTGACATGATGTGTTATCCTGCTGGTAACAACCATCAGAAGATGGGTACACTGTTTAAATGATGCTCATTGGTCATAAGAGGCCCAGAATGTGCCAGGAAAATATCCCGCACACCATTACACTTCCAGCAGCAGCCTGAACTACTCATGCACAGCAGGGTGGATCGATGCTGAACCCCTACCATCAACACGCATCAAGCCAGGTAACCTTTTTTCTAATCTTGTATTATTCAGTTTTGGGGAGCCCACATTCTTTGACCCAGTGTGGTCTTCTGCTGCTGCTGTAACAAATCTCCTTTAAGGTTTTATGTGTTGTGTATTCAGATGCTCTTCTGCACACTGATTGTGACCAGTGATTATTTAAGTAGCTGTTACCTTCCTATCTGTGGTCGACTCCTTTGTCACGTGGTGTGAGCAGAATCATCTGCAGCTCAACGTGGCAAAGACTAAGGAATTGATAGTGGACTTCAGGAAGACCAGGAAACATTTGACCCGTTTCAATCCAGGGGGTCAATGCTGACATTGTGGAGGACTATAAATACCTCGGTGTACACATTGACAATAAACTGGACTGGGCTAAAAACACCACAGCACTTTACAGGAAGGGCCAGAGTCGTCTCTATTTTTTGAGGCGACTGAGGTGCTTCAACATCTGCCGGACAATGCTCAGGATTTTCTACGAGTCTGTCGTGGCCAGTGCGATCCTCTATGCTATTGCATGCTGGGTTAGGGGGGGA